CCATGCTAGAATGTATCCATGCTTCAATGCTAGAATGTATCCATACTAGAAAATATCCATGTATCAATGCTAGAATGTATCCCTGTATCAATGCTATAATCTATCCATGTATCCATGCTAGAATGTACCCATGCTAGAATGTATCTATGCTAGAATGTATCCATGCTATAACGTATCCATGTATCAATGCTATATTGTAACAGAGGCAACAGACTATTTCATGTTGAAGAAAATTCTACTTGATTACATGGTGCACAAATTAAATGGTCAATATACAATAGCATAAGACACTGAAAGCCGTACTTATGCTTTAGCTTTACATCAAATAACTTCAGTGAGCAACAAAAGCTACATTACCCATCCTTAGAGAGCTTCTGTCTGAAGACATCATTGGCAGCCAGTTTGATGGCTTTTTCAGGTGTAACTAGAGTGAGGTTTACCGCTGCACCTGGAGGTAAACAAACTGACTATTAACAGCAATGCTTAAGGTACAAAAATAGAACAAAACTAAAAAACAGCTTATGGCTTTCTACCTGGGGTAGTAGGTAATCGCTTTAATGATAAAACGATTTAGAGCATGCAGGAGAAACAATGGCGTAGGTGGTGAGATTTCTTTTACAGTTACAGTGTTGTTTATCACAGTACTTAGAAATGCAAAGAATACCTCTGTAGCATCCAAAATAGCCTTCTGAGCGCACCGTCTTGGCCAAACAGTCAAGCCTTTAAAGACAACAAAGAAGAAGTGAAAATCACTCTTAATTAAATAGCCATAGCAGTATCCAGATCTTTCACAATGGACTCTACAGTCATACATGTTGCCTTTGTCCTATAACCCAGCCCTCTACTCTGGCTTTACAACAAATACGGCTACAGAAAGTGATTATATTCAGATTCTCTGTTTTATTTCCAAATGCCAACTTTGTAACTGTCCCTTTAAAGGAATATTTCAAGCTATTTTTACATGTCTGACTCACTCTGGAAAATCACAAGCCACTAAACACAGGAAAGGCACGCCCCACCAGCCAGCAGTTTTGATGCCCACCAGATGTGTGCAGCTAACTGTTTAGGGTCAATGTGTTTTTTAAGGACACCAAACTCCCTTTTCATCTTGATCTCTTGATCTACTAAATAGATGTTTAGAGTCCATCAGTATGCATGACCATGACCCCAATGAGCTCTGTACAAACTCATCAAAACATAGACGCAAATATGGAGAGAGCACATTTTACTCTACTGCTCCACCCGTTGAGATTCTGTGGAGAAATATGTCAGACATGGTTGCGTGCAGTTCGAATTACATCAGGAGGAAAATATTTAACTTTGATTCTGATTTCCACAAAATACAATTATCTGTAAGCAGGTCGTATGTTTTTTTCTTAATTAGTACCAATAACTAAAATAATTTAAAGCATAAAACAAAAAAGCTTTATATCTGACAGATCAATCAGATTAGCATATTAACCCTGGCTGAGGAAACCCCACTCACATTCCTTTGTAGACTTGGATACCCTGCTGGTTCTGTAGGCGGGTCTTGGCCAGATCTATAGGAAATACACATGTCACACCAACCAGGCCTGCCACGCCCCCATTAATCAGCTTAGCAGGGAGACTGCAAAGGGATCAACATAGACACAGAACAATTTACACACAGCCACGAAAACAAGCCGTGCGAACGACAAATCAGAGTCACAAAGTAGACACACAGAGGGAGGGGAGGGGTTTCCCAACCAGTCCACACACAAAGAGAGCATAAAAGATAAATATTACCACAGCTGTTGCTTCCATTTGGAGAAAACCTCTTTATTAGACCAAACAAACAGGATTCATTACTTACCTAACTTTCTTCTCTCCCATCCTGCTTGTGTTTGGGCTCCACGCCTAACCCGCTACTCTTCTTATCCCACCTCTTCGTCGTCTTCCTCTCCCCCCTGCTTTTCCACACTTCAGTCCACAGCCCAGCGTTGTCGATGTAGTTCAACCCTCACCTGTCCTTTCACGCCACAAATGCACCCCGCAGTGTCCTTTGAAGTGGTAGAAATGGACCGTTTTCTTCTTCCTCTCCCTGGTATATCAGGGATGGACGCCCTCCGTTCCTGTTGTGGTCACACCCACCAGAGTTTAATCTGTGTCTTCTGGCCAGTTGTTATGCTGTGTTGTACTTCACACAAAAACCCGGCCGCTCTTCCACTGTCTGGACAGACAAATGCAGATTCATGTAGAGTAAGACCAATATCTTCCTTCCAGATATCAAAGCCCTCCTGATGAGACTTTTTCTTTGGTGTTTTATCCTAATAGGAGGGCATGGTTACAATGAGGGATTAACACACCTCACATTGAATGTCAGGCTGCATAAAATCCAGTCAGTCATAAAGTTGAATCGTATCATATTCTGGGACTACCACACTAAGACAGAACATCTTGAGTCTCTCTAATCTGCCAGCTAAAAGGGATAAAGAGTATTTGTTTCCGGCCAGGAGGGCAGAGCTGAAAATGGGAGTATTCTCTGTATTACG